CTGGGGCTTGGGGGCCTTGCTGGGCCCTGCGTGGCTCTGCGCCTCCCCTGGGACGTGTCTGCCTGGCAGGGTCGAAAGGGAACCCGGGCCTCGGCCTCCCTCTGCCTCCCTTGATCGAATGGCATCCCAGCCGGTTTTTCCTTCCAGCGGTGCCATTGTGATATTTTTAAATATTGCCTCCGTTTTATCGAGGAGAGAAATAATAACTAAAAAATACACCCTTTCAAAAGAAAAAAAAATCTGTATCTCTGCCTACAACCAGGAGAGCCAAGATTCTGTCCGCAGAAAGACAAGGCTGCCCTCGGCCGCAGAGGGGGCCACTGCTGTGCCTTCGAGGTTCTTTTCGCGTTGACTTCGGGTCTGGTGTCGTTGCGGTCCCGTCTTCTTCTTGGTCTCTGCCGGCCGACGGGGGGGATCCCAGCCGTAGGTGACTGAGGCCACCCCAGTTCCCTGTGGACCCCTGCGTGGGGGCTGGAGAAGCAGGCAAGCGTCGGGGCGCTGTCCAGCCGACAGCGAGCCCCCCACCATTCCCAGCCACAGAAAGGGTCTCCCTGTTTCTTTCCATCTCTGGCTCCACACTTTGTCCCAAAATGAAGCAGGTAACGTTCAGACTTCGGCCGTTTAGTGATTGAAAGTGGATTTTCAGCAGCAAGCATGTTTTGGTATCTGGTTCACATGATCATCGGGAAAACAAGGAAACCCCACAGTACCTGACGTGTGACGGCTGCAGTGTTAGGCTCCCTGGGGCTGCAGCCTCTCACCCGGCCATGCGTGTCTGTCCCCCAGGGCACTGTCCCGTGTCTCCCGGGGGCCGAGCCAGCGGGAACCTGTTAAGCCGGGTCCTTTCCCTTGGGCTCGTTTGTTCGCTTCCAGAAGAGACCACCAAGGGCGGGAGGGACCGGAAAGCGTCCCGAAGTGGGCAGAGTCCCTGTCCGCGAGGTTTGCCCGCAGGAAGCCGGTGGGGGTCTGCTCGCCCCCAGCAGGCTGCGGGAGCGGGGCTTGGTGCTCGGTGCGCGTCGTCCTGTGACCTCCTGTGACCCGTGGCCAGGTCTTGGGGCACCTCCTGCCCCCGTCCTTGGTGAGACACAAGCTGTCACGAAAGCGCTCGGGAGCGGCGGATGGTTTCGAGAAGAGACACTTTCTGAGGTGCTTGTGTGTGCGCGCTGCACGCGTTATTTTTGTGAAAGGACCATCTCTTTAGGATATGTTTTTTTAACTCTTTGAAACACATCTAGAAAGCCAAAATGGTTTGATTCACTGACTGACTTCAAAGCTGTATCTGCCGGTTGCACCCGATGGCTTTAACCCCCTCGAGGGCCCGAGTCACTGCCCGCCCCTTCCTCCTGTGTCCATCAGCCCGTTTTCTTTGCTTTTTTCTTATCTATGCCTCACTGTTGGCATAAAGACCCCAGAGGTGTGAGACCCGGAGGACACGGAAGGGGCTCTCGGGGGTTCTGGTGTCGGTCTCCACTGTGCCAAAGACGGACAGGCAGGCAGGCGGACGGACGGACGGACAGGCTGAAAGTCGTGGCCACGATCTTCCCGGGAGGGCCCGGGAGGTGGGCAGCTGC